TGAGTGTGATTGTAGATTTAATCTAGTTTATCGGTGGTTTTATTTATTATAATATTAATATTACTTCTATTGAATGATGGATCGTTGAACGAAATGATTGCAAAATTGAAGATACTATAATTTTGGTTTTTAGTATAGAATTATTTTAATAATTTGAGATGATTGTCTTTTAATTCATCTCGAATTGTAATGATTTTAAAATTGTAAAAAACAAAAAGTTAAAAAACATTTTTTTTATACCGAAAGTTATAAATTGAAAATAAATTTTTAAATTTAAAGTTTATTATTTTCAACAAAAATTAAAAAATTTTTTTTCAACAAATCTATAAAAAGTAATAGTTTAATTTTAAGTAATTTAATCTGTTAACTAATTATTTTCAATTATTAATGTTATTAGTTACTTTTAATTATATCAATAATTTTAACTATTTATTTCATATTTTGAATTAATATCAAATTATTTCAAAATAAAACAACTATAAAAAAACTTTAGTTTTAATATAATAATTAATGCTATTATTTAGTTATTCAAATGATAATTTTTCATATTGATATATTACTATAATATATAGTTTACAAACAATATGAAAAAGTAAATTAAACTCTTACCATTTATCGTACTTAAACAAAGGAACAAGCTTTTGGTATTGGAGCACAGACATAATATAAACCCCAGCATGTTCATATACGTCCGGCATTGAAGCCATTACTGGGTCTCCTGAAATACCATCCACTGCTTCACCGCAAGGAATGAAGTCTGGTCCCGTGTGGTCGATCATCCATTGAATTCTTTTAGGGACAAGTCCCGCATTTCCGTCGTATGAATCGATCAACAATTCTGCCCAAGCCATAAACATAGTGGTGACTCCCCAAGGGGGGCTTGCTTCTCCGACCTCTTTGCCTGCTGGATTGAACTTTGATTCGAAGAAGTATGGGTCGTTGTAATATCTAGCAATACCATAGTTCAGTTTTGTCAAGTCGCTTCTGATTTTGTTGAAGTGTTTCTTGATCCTCTCCTGGTTAGTCGCAATACCCGAAAAGACTATTGACGCGGTTGAAGAGTCAATCAAGACTTTTTGACTCTTTGTGTCACTCCAAAGACTTTGCACGTAATGACCAGCTTGTTCATTCCAGAAGCTGTTTTCAAACCCAGTCGACAATTCATTGGCTCGATTTCTAAGTTCGTTGGCTCTATTGGAGTCGCCATAGATCTTCTCTTCAATCATTGCTGCGCATAAGAGTCCATGGTGTCCCTGTGCTTGCGTGAATGTGTAATATTGTGTTGGTAATCCATATCCTCCCCACCCATCACTACTCTCTTCCCAAATCGAGTAGTCTGGTCTGATCAAGTTATTGTAGTCTTTTATCATCAAGAAGTTCTCAAGTGTCTTGATTCTGTTCTTCACATTGTTGTCCAACAACAATGTGTTCTTGCCAGTCATTTTGTAGTAATAGTAATACGCCGTTAAAGCAACACCGACAGCGTCGTACTGTGGTTCAACAAAGCCAATGACACTTCCAGTGTACCAATCGTAATTTGTGGGGAAGTACCCATCACTTCTCAATTCACAGGTCGAAAGCCACTTCAAGAATTTCTCTGCGCCGTCATACTCGCCCAAAGCAGTCATGATGATCGAAGAAAAGACGGCGTCTCTGCTCCACACCTTGTAATAATAGAGTGGATGGTATGACGCCAATAATGTGCCAAGTGTTGGATTTTGCGAGAACAAAACAGTGAACACCGAGGAGTACCACATCTTTTTCTCAGACTCATTTGCAAACGTGGGGAGTTTGTATTTTGCAAATTTGGCATCACTGAATGTCGTCAATTGACTCTTCCATGCGTCGTACGTCTTCGCTATAATTTCAGCACTTAAAGACTCTGCACCAGAGACACTGGTGGCAAGTGCTCTGAAGACGGTGACTCTGACAGTTGAACCGACTGGAACAGAAAGAGACTTTTGCATTGCCGCAATCATAGTCTGCGAGGCTTTGGAAGTCACTCCGTCTAATTTAGAGTTAGAGTTGAAGTAACTAATTGGGGTATATCCAGTGGCATCTCCCAATGAAAGAGACTGCACGTCATACATTCCCATAACAACAACTGTGTTCTTATATGCGTTGTCATTCTTATAGTCAAAATAAAGACTTTTGGTGGATGAAATAGACCCACCAGCAACGTTGTTATTGATTTTGCTTGAGTTTGTATAGTCGAGCAAATTGAACGTGACGGTTGAACTCCCAGAGTTTGTGATGTCATACGCTTCCATCAAAATTGGTCTGTTTGGTACCATGAAGTATCTCTTAACGACTTTCACCTTCGAGTTGAACGCGTTATTGTTGTAGTATTTGATTTCATGGGTATACTCTCCCGGGTAGTCGATTGTATTCTTCCCAACAAATTTGAATGGGTCACCATATTGTGTCGAGTCAATGTGGAAGACAAACCCATCGCCCTGAAGAAGGTTTTGTTCGTAGTTGTTTGTGGACCAACGCAACTGACACAACCCCGCGGGACGACTCCCCTTATAATTCAAGCTGTCTATGTTTGCACACCAGCCCATTGTCATGTCCTTGAAATTGGTAAGACCGTATGATGGGTTTGGTCTGAACGCGTAACCCAAACTCAAAAAGAGAAGAGTTAACATATAAAGAATTAAGATTTGGAAGGGTTAAATAGTGTCTATTGCTTTCGAAAGTCTTCTACATGTTGTAAGATGTAACAAAGATACTCGATGTGGGTCATTATAGTTTATTATAGTTTTGATATAATTTGTGTTTAGTTTTACTTTTCAAGCCAAGTGAAAGTTCTTTTGAAAGATAAATATAAAAAAAGCATATGTTTATGGTATTAATAATAATAAATTATTAATAAGACTTTAATAATAAATTTAGATTTATAATAAATAGTTAAAAGATAATAAAGTCAACAGAATGAATAAAATAACACAATTTATTGCAATGAACAGCTTTTCTCCTCTTCAAACCCAGTGAGCGATGGATCCAAAGTATCTTTAGGAAGCTTTGGACATCCAACAAAACACAAGTCTCCAAGGGACAGTACATTGTCTTGTGGGAATCTGATTTGAGACAAATTGTGACACTCAGCAAAGCATTGTTCCCCAACACACGTCACAGAAGATGGAAATTCGATCTCAGTGATTTTGTTGTTCTGAGTAAAACAGAATGATCCAATCACCTGGAGTGATTCCGGAAAAGCTGGTAATGCCAAATTCGAACAATTTGCAAAACAATATGAAGGAAGAGTTTTGAGTGTCGTTGGTAAATTGATTGACTCTAATGAGGTGCAATTAGAAAAACAGTCTGCAGAGAGCTTCAAAGCGTCGTTCGATATTTCCACGTGTTTCAATTTAGCGCAATTGTTAAAACAGAACGACCCAAGAGAAGATAAAGAAGATGAAAATGACACCGCCGAGAGGGAAGAACAGTCTTGAAATGTTTCATCGAGTAAGAGAGATACATTTGCCGGAATTTCTATCGACGACAATTTGGAGCATCCACGAAAACATGACTGTCCAATGTGATTTAAAGAATATGGAAGTTGTATACTCTTAAGTGACGCGCACGATGAAAAACAATAATCCGAAATTTGAACGACAATTCTTGGAATTTCTATGGAGGAAAGACTGACACATCCATCAAACAAACACTCTCCTAATGTAAGTAAATACGTTGGTAATGTCAATGAATGCAACGCCTCACAACATTGGAAACATCCGTCCCCAATGGACTGAATACCTTTTGGAATGTTGAGTGTTGAAAGACTTGCGCAGTCGTGGAAAGTGTAATTGCCAAATGCAGTCACGCCACTATGAATTTCAATTGAAGTCATCTTGGAACACACACTGAACGCGTAATTCGGTAACGCAGTCACTTTTGGAGGGACTATGAAAGCCTCTATCTTTTCACAATTAGTGAAACAATATGCTCCAAATTGTGTAACTGTGTCTGGCAGTGCTATGTGTGACAAACTCACACACCCAAAGAAGCAAGAATACCCAATTGACCTTGTTTGTGGTGACAAAACAACAGAAGACATTCGTTTGCAGTTGGAAAAGCACGCATAAGGCAATTCAGTGATGTTTGAAGGAATTTGTATCGTCAATAACCGCGCACACTCATTAAAGCACTTGGGTCCAATGCACACCAAATCCTCTGGAAGAACGACTTTAGACAACCTCTCGCACTCTCCGAAACATGACGTTCCTATTTTCAGGACATTATGTGGGACGACTATGTACTTTAAGTCATAGTTCTTATTAAAACAGTAATCGCCAAGTACACAGACTTTACTGAGAATGGTTAACTCCTCTGTGTGCACTGGAAGATATTCTTTTGTTTTGTTGATTTTAATTTGCGAGTGTTCAATGTCCACACCACAGAGTACTTCACACCCAAACAACAAACGATAGTAATAAATCTGGTACTGTCCATGGAATGTCACCTGTTTCAAATTCTTTGTGTCGTGTAAACAGTAATCACCGACACTTGTCAAAGCTTTTGGAAACCGTATTTTTACAAGTTTGGAGCAATGCGAGAAACACTGGTCTCCGATGTTGCTCACACTCCTTGGAAATCGGTAGAACGCAAAGCTCAAACTATTTTTAAAGCACTGACTGTCTACTCTTTTTATGTGGTGAGGTATCGAGTCACCGTATCTCAGTTTGTCGTCTTGTGAATAGTACACAGACTTTGCCTCGATGTTCTGAGTTTTCAGTTCAAGACTTTCTGCAAAGTCGACTTCATACCAACAAATTCGTTTAATAATTTTGCGATCATTTTTAAACACATCTTGGGACTTTGAATAGAGGTGAAGTGTCTCAAGTTTTGGGAAATAGTGTTTGGTCATTCGAGTTAAAGGAATTGGGTTGAAATGAAACTTTGCCATCGTGTCTTTGTACTTCGAACAGACACGTTCAATGATGATGAAGTCTTTTAATGTGGTGAAATACTTCGACACTATCATCATGCTATACCCATCAATTCTCCCTTTCATTCTGCTTCAAAGATTAACGGACATCTCAAGTGGGGTAAGGTTAGATAAAGAAAACAATTATTGTATGTATTGAGCCCGATAGACAGATGTCGTTTGACCTGTTTTTTTCAGAATCATTTCGAGAGTAAAATAAACAAAGAACAAATCAAATACGTATTTACTATAATTTACTATAATAATTATAGATTTAACTACCGGTTTTAGAGAACAAATAGTAAAATGTATTTCATTTTCTTATTGAATATACATTTATATATATATAAGTTTTTTGATAAACAAAAAACGATATATCATTGTTTGATAAGAACGAAGACATTGATGTTTTTTAATTTCAGCACAAAATAAAAACTGGAATTGATAAAGGAAAAAACAAATACATAATTTTGAGTCGAAATTTAAGGTGAATTAAATTTCTATTTGACAAAAACTTTTATAAGACTTACTACTTCTTAATAACAGTTATAATACCACTTGTTTAAGCGACATGCAATTAAGTATTGAATACTAGTTGTGTGTGAAACAATTGGTTATAATTACTGTTGCAGTAATATAAATCTTTTGAAATTAATTCTCTTTAAATAATATCAAATTGTTTTTATATTTAAACCATGGACAATAAAAAAAGAAGAAGAGAACAGATGGAATTAACTGTCAAAACTTTAAATCCAATTTTTTTGAAATTATATAAGTAGATCGTATCTACTCAAATGATTTCATTCTTTTTGTTATCAATCACAAATAACACATTCATTGATACAAAAATGTTTGTAATATGTTTACAATGTTTAATGCATAATAGAACATTAAAATTGTGTATAAATAAACAACAACCTGTATCATATTTCGATTTAAACTGATAATTTAAAAACAAGTACCACGTCTTAAAACGTTGCAATAATTGAAAATATATTCATTATAATAACCCGAAATATCCCATACATAGAATAGAAATATACTTCACAAAATTATACAATCAAACCCTTTTTGAATCTTGACAAAGAACTAATAATAAGGAAATGAGTAAACTTCTTGCACCAACACAACAAGGCCATGAAACCATGGAAAAGTTGAACAAAGGAAGCTACGAGTGTGTTGTCTGTATGGCTCCCATTCGACGTTTCAACAAGATTTGGTACTGCCAAAAATGCTTCACTGCTATTCATAGCACTTGTATGGCAGCTTACGCAGCTGGGAAGCCGACTTGGCTCTGCCCAGTTTGCAGAACAGAGTATGACAAACCGCCCAAAGCAACTTGTTTCTGTGGAAAACACGTTGACGGGAGTAAATATGAAGCGGCGCATTGTTGTGGTGAAATATGTGGGAAACTGCGAGTAGGGACTTCATGTCCACATCCATGTACCCACAAGTGTCATGCTGGTCCATGTGGTTTGTCCATTACTTTAATAGTAAAATAACTCATGAACAGGTCCGTGCACTGCTGGAGGGAAAACAGTGAAGTGTTATTGTGGGAGAAAAGACGTTCATTTAGGCTGTGGAGAAGAAGAAGAGGGGCGGTCGTGTGGACAGATGTGTCTGAAACCGATGAAGTGTGGACATGCGTGCATAACTATATGTCACAAGGGGGAGTGTCCAAAGTGTGCGGTTCAAGTTGAGAGGTCGTGTTACTGTGGTGCGGAGAAGTCCAAATTTTCATGTGGGGATGTTCCACCTGAATCTGCTGGTGGCGTATATTCATGCAAACATGTTTGTGGGAAGGTATTGAGTTGTGGTAAACATCACTGCACTAAAATGTGCCATGAAGGGCCATGCGAAGAGTGCCCAACACCACTTACAATTCAAGTGTGTGCCTGTGGCCGTACCAAATTTGATAGAAAGGAGTGTACAGATCCGATAGACACATGTGAGCACATTTGTGGGAAGACAATGAAATGTGGACATGTCTGTCAACATAAATGTCACTTTGGACCCTGTGTCTGTGATGTCAAAATGACGAAGAGATGTCGATGTGGATGTCAAGAAGTAGAAGTGAAGTGTGGTGATGCAAGTGAAGTATTGTGTGATACTATCTGTGGTGACTTATTGAGTTGTGGAATTCATAAATGTGACAGAAAATGTTGTTTGGCACATGGTAAAGGGAACAGTGACTTACATAAATGCTTCAATTACTGCGGAAAAGAACTTCCGTGTGGACATAAGTGCACACAGATTTGCCATGGCAACAAGAAATGCCCTCCATGCACTCACATGTTACTCACTCCATTAACATGTAGGTGTGGAAAGACACAAATCCAACCACCAGTCCCTTGTGGTACTGCGCCACCTCAATGCAATCGTCCATGCCAAATCAAACCGGCATGCGGCCATGTGTTGCCCGCACACAACTGTCACTTTGGCCCATGTCCACGTTGTGTTGAAATTGTCGAGAAACCCTGTTTCTGTGGAAAGGGTTCAGTGAAAATACCATGCTACATCGAGAGTGGGTCTTGTGGGAATGTCTGTGGTAAGCCGATTGGATGTGGACAACACAAATGTCAGAGAGTCTGCCATGAAGGACCGTGCACGCCAGATGGGAAGTGTCCCTACCTCTGTGGAAAGAAGAAAGGGTATTGCACCCACTTCTGTAATGCGAAGTGTCACGGAGATAGTAAATGTCCCCATGATCCATGTGACCAAATAGTCGAGTGTGTATGTCGATGTGGACATCGAAAGGTGCAGGTAGTGTGTGGAGCGACACCGGAGAAGCCTTGGGAGAAAAAGACGATTGACTGCAACTTGGATTGTTTGAAGGAACATGTGAGACAAGAGAAGGTAGGTGTCAACACGAAGAGAGTCGAGTACCCGATGTGGTTCTTGTGTTTGTATGATGCAGCGGGAAAGGCAGCAAAGACACTTGAGACGAATATGATAGACTTCATTAACAACACTGATTTGAAAACACAGACGATGAATAACATGAATCAACTCATGATGTTGGTTTTCTCCTATTTGTGCTCATACTACCAACTTAACATTGTCCCCGTGCAAGTGAAGAAAGCAATGCGATATGCTATGGAGAAACAAGCGTTAAATGCAGTCCTTTGCTCACCACCTGCTTTTGAAGAAGTTAATAAGAAAAGAAACGACTTCCATCCCAAAGGGTATGATATGGTGATCAACGTTATTGTGTATGATACTGACTATGAAGATCAGACGATGATGATCCACATCACTTCGATCACTGAAAATGCATATGATAAGGTTCAACGATTATTAAAGAAGATTCAGTACAATTGCCGAATTGAAAATGTTAACAAGAACAATGCGATCCTGTTCTTTAAGGAAATGCAGACGCTCGAATTTGTACTGAAAAGCTTGAAGAACATGAAAGGATTTGTTGTGCGAGACGATTTGATTGTCGAAACTAAAGAAGTTATTGTGTTGAAAAACAAAGACAATTCGTGGACTGATGTGGCTCTCCGTATCATCTATGGAATGATCAACGATGCACTTGAAGGAAATACGGAGAATGTTAGAAAGGTCATGATGCACATCCCCGCGTATTCTAAAGACGTGCTGACGAATTATACAACAGTGTATAAGAGCTTGATTTCACAGAGTCAACCCGTCTTGGCACTTGACGTTGCGATACCGAAGCATTTCTATTTGAACGAAATCTACGTCTCATTCAGCTTGACCAAAACTATCATCAACCAAAATGTTGGACTCCACAAAAACGTATTGACCTTTGATATTGTGCTGTACATTGGCGTCTCTGAGGAGAAGCGAGTCAAAGTGAATTGGAAAAAGCAGGTCTTTGAAGAAGGAAAGAAATTCGTGTTTGAGGCATGGATCAACAAACCCGAGGAAATTGAACTCTTGAAAGGAAAGAAACTCTCTGTGTGGACTGAATTTGAACACAAAGAAGTTATTGGGAATAAGGCGGGGTCACAGATCTACATAGAAGCACGATTCCTTCCGGTCCAACATAAAGTTGTTCATGTCAAAAAGCCTGTCGATTTCCAAAAGAAATTGGAAAGGAAGTTAGTAAACAAGTTGGTTGAAGAGAAGAGTGAAGAAAAGAAAGTCGAGCAACAAGAAGTGAAAGAGGTGAAGGAAGTCAAAGAGGAGAAAGTTGAGGAGAAGCCTACTGAAGAGAAATGATCTAAATTTTTTTAATTTACTTTGTTCTTTCTTTTTTTATACAACCATATCGGCAATAGATTCAGTAATTAAGAACTTATTCGAGTTTTACTAAAACTGTTTTAGATACAAATGAATTGTAGTTTTAATATGGCACAATGCAATTTATTATAAAAGAACTATATATAACTAAAGATACTTTGTTGTATTAATGAAAGCTACTTTGAATTAATTTACGTTGTCTTTTTGTAATGTGGAATATCCATATTATTAAATGTGTCACCGGTTAACATGTGAATAATGACAAAAACGAGTTTTTATTACTTAATTATTAGACCAATAAAAACACACAATGTTTTGGGTATCTTTTTTATTCACCCATTAATTATAATAGGGTTAAACTTTATAATGATTAGTGGGACTTATAATCGTGTTTTAAATAGTAATTATTAGTTTGGACTTCAAAATATTGTAACAGCCTTTTTCGAAAACAACAAGAAAGGCAATTCGTTTTTTTCCAGTTTTAATTTCGAACTAAATTATTTAAAAAAAGAAACTACCGTTATTTGTTACAAAAGAATTCTTTTTTATTTTTGGAAAGGTTTTTAAAGAACATAAAATCATCAAATAATTTCAATGATGCTTTTCGATCTTTTTTTGATTGATTTTATTAGCAAAATATCCAATGAGGTATTTATTTGCTTTTACTGTCCTTTTATTTTTATTCCCGTATGTTTAAGTATTTTGATACTAAATATGATAAATTTCACTTAACGAACAAAGCTATTAATTAAAAGTGCACTTATAAAGAAATGGAAAAATGTTGTGGCCGTCGTTTAAATGTGCCGTTTTTATTCCATAAACTTATTTTTTATACTAACGAGAAACTTAGTGCCTGTCTCCTTTAAAATATCTTTAAAATATAGTAATAATATATATCAATTAACTATCAAGGAGTTGGGGTGCTAAAACAGAAGACAACCCAACTTTTCTTATCCAAAAAACCGCGAAACCCTTTTTCAAACTGTTATTCCATAAAACGGCTCATGTTAAGTCTGCTCTTTTTTGCGATAACAGTGTTTTCCTCGGAGTCGGGGGAGTACTGTGACTTCAATTGTTTTGTGAAGGCATTGACCTTTACACTCGACTTCAATGGAAGTTTTTCGTTCCAAGGATATAACATCCCTTCTTTAACTTTCCACGACTTTGTCATTCAAAACATCACAGGAAGCGTTAATAATGAAACAGCCCCCGATATGTTAATATCCAACATTACACTTGCAACACTTTCTGGAAATGGACCAATTATCTCAGAAAGCTCTGAGAAGGAAATAGGGTATCTTGAGTTGGACATGAAAGAGGTACACTTGGACTTTGCAACACAGTTTGAGACTTACAATTACCTTGGGTATAACCTTATTGGAAGTGTAGATCCGTCCATTGCAGCTGACTTAAATACAGACGCTGCGACTCTCAAGATGGTTTGCACTGATTGTTCGAGTAAAGACAAAATAGCGTTTGCAACGATAAACGCCGCTTTTGGGAAGATGTTAGGTTTCATCCAAATTCTATTGGATACAAACATGTACAAGTTAGAGGCTTTGATGAAAGAAGATATAGACGCCATGTTAGACAATATTAACTCAAATTACACTGAAAAATTTATTAATAGCACCGAGCTACTCCACTTCCCTATTGACATCGCAACGCCTCTGAATATCACAGAGAGCTCTTTGATTGATTTGATCGCATGTGCGTCAAATGGCCTTGCCGGTGGGAATGAGACCGAGCCTGGAATAAATGACATCTTCAATAAGATGACCAATTACAGTGGGGACTTCTTAGTTGGGTCCACTCAAGACACCCTTCCCAAATTATCAAA